GACTGAATTATTTGATACTTGGTGTGTATGTACCTTGTGTTGACATCTTCTAGATTTGTTGATCCCATGGCCATATCTTTAATTCTCTAATTTTGGCAAATATTTTTGTTATTTTGGGTTAAAAATAGAATTTCAACTAACCACTATTTCAAATGCTTTGGTGTTAGGCATACATGTGTACAAAGTACAAATTTAAACGAAAGGTTGTGGCATATACAACAATAATCTTTTGTACAATAGCCGTTGAGCAGCAGGCCTTTGGCCTATGGCATAACAAATGAGGCAATGATATTTTAATTCAACGAAAAATTGTTCATTCTTTTACAAACGTGCATACATGGCCTAATAAAGATGAAACGCTGACTTCCCTTTTGCAATGTAATAAAATAATATAAAGGTATAATTCCAGTAGCTATTTCACAATGATTTAAAAAAATACTATAAGGTTATTACGAAGATACCTCAAAGTATGCACGAAGACAGTACAGCGGCAGTATCGACCGACGCGCAGCGGAGGTCAATGCGACAACATACTGTCTGAGTCAATAATTCGTCAATTGTTGAACCCTTGGGTTTTCCTTCTCATTTACTCTTTGAAGAACTGCAAACCCTGGCGCACAAATTACTGTCGACATAGGTGAAAGATGTACCCCATGTTAATTTTTCACAAACAATACATTAATACCTTTTCCCCTGGTTGTTACTAATTCATATTCAAATTATTACTAATCGTTTGTAACGTCACAATTTGCCTAATACTTCGATATAAAAATAAGTATATGTAAATATGTGCGACAACCACTATGCTACCAGTGACCAGTGAATGAATATGGTGACATCTGTTAATGTTACACTAGTCACCATACTATTCGACAACTAATTTGAGAACAGTCACTTGGACATTTCGTGACATGTGCCATTGCACATGAAAGCTTCATGTCAGCCTTTACCTGTCACCTACGGAATTGCAGATTTCTGCTTTTTAGGGTTTGCCACAATTACATAC